AGACCAGCGGCCTCCGAGTCTGTTTGTGTTCAGTCTTTGGTTTTTTTTTTTTATCTGTGACTGTTCAGACTGATCTCAGGTGGAAATCAAACATTTGGTTCCTGCAGGTGAACGCAGCCTCAGTGTCGACGTCCTCACAGCATTTGATTCAGTTCCATCAAGTTTCACCTTCTTTATATAGAAATATATATTTTTGATACAAGGCATGACGAGTCATAGTGTCGTTTGATTATTATGTATGTGTGGGATATTTATTATTTTAATAGATATTTGTGCAAAAATATTCCTACTGCTGCTTGAATGTGTTTTTTTTTTGTTGTGAATTTTAAACATTTACAGTTTTTATTTTATGGAAAACAAGATTGATTTTATTTGTTGGGACTTTTTGGAGATAAATGAAGGTTTGAAGAGGGACATAATAAAAAATAAAATAAAAAAAGGAAGTGGAGACATAAATACGTCAAAATCAATCTCCTCTGTTGGTCGTAAACACACCAACAGATGAACGACAAAGCTGACAGGAAAAAAAACTGGATCTGATCTAAAGTTCAAGCATCGCTTCGAGCTGCTGAAGAGAAACATCTGGAATGACAGCAGCAGCAGCAGCAGCAGCAGCAGGTTTCTGTCAGCGACGTTCTTGTTGACACCGGGAATGGAAAGACGATGATATGAAGGGTTTGTGCCGTGTGGTGGATTTTACCGCAGCGTACCCAGAGCACCTGTCCAACATGGTGACCCAGCAACGAGAGAACAAGTGGTTCATGAACTCACCACGTCTGAAAATCTTCTCGAGTTTATTGAGCTGAACTTTAGACTTTAAGACGTTTTGATTTTGTAACTTTTCTACATGTAAAAATCCAAGTTTTTGCCTCTGTTTTTCCGCTCCTTCGTCACTGTCACTTCCTGCTTCTCCTGACAGAGCTTCACTTTGTTTCCTTGATTTATCTTTTGTGTCCAGCGGGTGAAGTTTACTTGTTATTGAAGGAGGGTTTGCCTGATCCCTCCACCTAGTACCTGTTTCTTTTCCTACATTTCCAACGCAGAAAGTAGTGCCACCTTAAGTCACAATCTCTCTGGTGGCGACTCATTATTATTACTTATGTATTTTTCTTTTTTCCCCATTTCTGGGCCTAAATTTCTACATTTTTTTCATTGCAGATTTGTTTGTTTTGTTTGTACTTTACATGGGAAAATCCTCGGCAGATAACTCCTTCACTGTAGTCTGAGAGGTTGGAAACAAATCAGGTACGAGTTGTTAAGTTGCACACTATCTCCACTGTCCCGTCAAATAAAAGGCACAAAAATGCCCCAAAAACAACTTTTAAAAGAAAAGAAAGTTTCATCTTTCACTAAAGAACCTGGTCTGTTTGAAGGATTTCTGCCTCTTAAACCTGAAGTTCATTTACAAACACACGAGTCCAGGTATCAGCAGGTTAAATCTGAGGTGTATCACCTAAATCTAACAGCAAAGACTTCTGGGAAGCTTTTTATTTATTTATTTATTTTTTGCTGTAACGCAGCGACATGTTGATAAAAGCTGCAGCGAAGGACGATTTCCACAAACAGCTTCTCAAACAGCCAGGAACACACACAAAGACAAACAACCTCCCACACCTGTCAGTAAGAGAGAGATGTGCCGGAGTGGAGGTCTGCTGCTGATTTATAAGTCAGGTTGCCTTGGAAACAAAGTCAGTAAGTTTTCACTGAGCTGAATATAAATCAAATAAAAACGCAGTCGTGTTAGAGAGAGAGTGTAGAATCAGAGTCACTGCAGTTTTTACAGCCTCCTGCAGCGAGGGAAACTCTTCCTCCTCTGATTTCAGGCTTAAATTAACAGGAACGTGGAGAATCCCCTCCCACCGGACACATGAACAACTTCCACAGACTGTTAGTGCATGAAAAGCTACACGGACATGAACATGTGGATATTTGTACTGAAAGATTAGACTCCTGTCTTTTCGGTCAGTGTGGTTGTTTTTTTGTTTTGTTTTTTTTAAAAAGAACATCCTGCCATAAAAATAATCCAGATGCAACTGAAATCTTAATAAATATGCAAGTTGAAAGTCAGTATATAAACTATTAATGAACTATTAATGAGCCGTGTCGTGTTCCAGTGTTCCCTCCCTCCTCCCTTTAGCTCTGTGTTTGGTCTCCACCGGCTCCGGAGGGAAACATCTGGCTCCAGGAGACGTACAGGACAGTGGCTTTTTACAAGCATTTTTTTTTTTTACAGATGTTTCTCTGAAAACAGCTGTAAAACGACGCTATTAGAGCGCTGAAGTTGAGTCCGAAAAGATTTTTTTTTTTTTTTTAAAAACATAATATCGATTTGAAGACGTGACGAAAAGATCATGAGGATGAAATGTGCAGTTTTGCTGGGGCACCATGTTCACGAGATTCGACTTTATACAGATTCATCTGCAGATTGTCCAGTTATAGGAAACATGAGAGCGACTCTGATATGTGTCCACAACATCCAGTTACAGAGGAAAAATTAAAACTATAAGAAACTGAACAAACATAGTTTTCATCAGGGGGGGAAAAAAAAAAAAATCTTTTAACCAGCCAATCAGAGTGAAGATCAGGAAACTTCTGTCTTCCTATTGGCTGCTGGTCAGTTTTATCATGAAGGGGGAGTTTTAGTCACTTCCAGTCTAACAATCATACAATCAGTAAGAAGTTCACAGTCACCAAAAATACATTTGATCTTTACTTCCTGTGTGTGTTTCGACAATCATCGAGTGCTTCAACAATCAATAATCAATAATCATTCCAGCGCGAGGCAAAGGTTTCTGGATTTTTTTTTTTTTTACTTCCAAAAAACCCACATCAAGTTTCTTTTTTTCCTTTTTTTTTTAAACTTTTACCTCAAGTTTCTTAAAGTGCAGACTATCCTATCAACTACCTGAGTGTTAGTGCTGTTTCTACACCTTGCCGAGTGTGCGTGTGCATGTATGTGTGTGTGTGTGTGTGTGTAACTGGTGAGAGACAATCATGACGACTTTTAAATTTAGAGCTAAAAACGAGTCTCGCCGGTAAAATCTGATCCAGTTCATTTAGTAAAAGACGCGCTCCAGCTTTCCTCTCCGCCATCATGTAGTGAAATACAGTTTGTGTTGGTGTTTGATTTGGAGACATCAAAGTTATAATCCTTAAGATTTCACTCCGGGTTCATTTGGCGTCACCTGCGGTTACCGGTGGTGACAGCAAGTCGCGCATCGACCACCAGGGGGCAGCAAACACTCTGCGCAGCTACTCTGTCAGAAATACAACAAAGGAAGAAGAACCGTCGCATCTGTTTACAGACCGAGGAGAGTTGAGACGGATCATCTCGTCATGAAGAAGACTAAAGAGAACAAGCAAGATAATTTCACAATACTGCCCCCCAGTGGCAGAGAGCAGCAACTACAGACGCAGAGAAACTGAAGCAGTTAGAAACGGTCGATTTTAGACCTTTTAAGTCTGATTATTGATTATGTAACTGGCACATATCGGCACCTACAAATGAAGGACACTCTACTCCGCCTTCAACGAATACAACTAAATGCAAACAAAAATGAACTAAACTAGCAAAAGAGAGTCCCGGTCTGACAGATTTGACGACAGCAGACGTGAAGACCTGAGTCAAACAGAGAGAGAACAGCAACAGTGAAAACAGCATGATGCTCCACCAAGTAAAAAGCAGCCATGGTGGAGAAGAGCAGCAGAACATTTCATTTTTCCTGCATTTCACAGCTCGCTCTCTCCGTCTGCCTCAAAAACCACATTTCTCTCCGACCGGCTTAGACTGAATATTGGACCTGTTCAGACTCAAGTCCTGGGTCTGGTCTTGACTCGTCGATTTAGAAATCCTCGCTAAGCTAAACACATGATGAGAGCTACTGAATGAATCCAAAACTGACCCAGAATCTGAAAGTGAATCGATTCAAACTACTGAAAACCAGTCAGGGATCTTTAGCTTTCGACTGCTCGTTAAAGACTGGATGTTTCTATACCGAGATAAACCTCAGGAGTCACAGTTCATTTCACTTTTTCACTTCTCATGTCCTCAGGTTCGTACCTTTGACCTTTTAATCAGAGAACCACGTGTTGTTTTAACAGAGTCATCCATCTTTTGTACTGACGAAATCAACCAGGAGAGTTTTCGTATCTATCCAGTCGCCAACGTCGTCAATGAGACGGCGGCTGCCCTCCGACCTCTCAACGTCACGTCTACTGCTGTAAAAACTGTCGCCACGAGAAGTATAAACATGGGTTTTGATGTATAACAATCTTAAGGATTATAACTTTGAGGAGACCGTAAAGGAAATAAACTGTCTCTTCCTCTTGACCTTCAGTAAACTGTAATGACTGTTAAAGGAAAACCGCGGTGCTCACTGATCCATATTCACACGTATGGAAGTTATGGATCCTTCTTTTAGTGTCTGTAGAGGAAATTACAATAAAAACAAACAAAAAAAACAAAAAAAACAAACCCGCTGTGTGCTTGTATGTTTGTCTGCATATAAAGTTTTCAAAATGCTCAAAAACACATCACTTGAAGGTCAATATCAAAAATCTCTGGAGTAGATATCTATGGTTGTTTTTATCACCAGCTTGAGGTGCTTTACTTTCCTCTAGTACCGTTGTTTGATTTTATTTTGTGCTACCAATATACATATATCCTTTATGTCCAGGTGTGCCATTTCAATACAAAAACTCTTTGTACGCACATGTGCAGCTGTGTGACTTTGTGCTGGAATGATTTTAAAACACCTAAAAGCCTATAAACAGCCTGTTAATAACAGAAACACGACGCCATAAACAGAGAAGAGAAGAGTGAAGTCAGAACTGAAGCTCTAGCAGTGCTGTCGCTAATTTACAAATGAACACTATCCACATTAGAAATGCTGAGCTCTTTAAAAAGTTGTTTCTTCACGGTTTTGAATGTTTTTTTTTCTTTCCTACTAAACATATTATTATTATCTTTTTTTTTTTTTTAATTCTTCATAACACCGCCAAACGTTTGCTTCATTTGTGAGGGAACAGCAGGTTAAGACCGACGGGTGAGGAGACGGGGGGTTGGGGGAGAGGGAAATACTTTGAAATGCTTCTCTACACGTTGTCAGCCGGCAGGTCGGGGATGCTGGTCTTCGCTCGTGTGAAGAACGCCATCTTCTCTCTGAAATCACACAGGGCAACAGTGAGAACAGTTTGCAGCTGAAGACAATTAGAGCTTCAGATGAAGTCAACAAGTCTTCAGACAGCGTCCTCAATAACATCCTCGTGTCAAACTCTGAGGTCAAGTTTATCAAGCGTCTCAGGGTCACTGCTAGGAATCTCCTCCCCTGATTTGAGTCATTTCCCTCCCTTTACTTCTTTAAAGCAGCTATTTGTAATTTTTGTTCTGTAACTTTAATGATTGAATGAGTAAAACAACCTGATGATTTGCACGACTGCAGCTTATTTTTCTGTCACTTCGCAGAGAAATGAATGAACCAGGAGGTTAGGAAAACTCTGGAGCTCTCCTAAATAAAAGATAATTAAAGACACTTGATGAAATATTTTTACTCCTTGGATCTAAATTAGGACCAAAAGACGCTTCATTCTGAGAATGTCTGTCCAGTCGAGACTGATTTCCTACTCTGAGAAACCTGATAAATGTGAGTCCTGAGCTGTTGTTTCTCCCACCTGAAGGTCTGGACCTCAGGGACCTCTTTGCGGCTCTGGCCCCTGATCTTGTGGACGTCCTTAGCTGCTGCCCTCATCATCTTCTCCACCCTCTTCTCCTGCAGCTGCTCCTCACGCGTCTGAACAAAGAGGACGAGCAGACAGGTGTTCAGTTCAGAGGAGAGACACACACACGATAAACAGACCTGAGCGCTGAACCTGGACTGATTCCTGTCAGTCACCTGTTTCTCCGCTTGCTTGAGGAGGAGGCGGAAGCGCTCGTCTTCTTGGACCCAGGCGGGCAGCTCTCTCTGGCCCTGCTGCCTCGCCTTCTCCAGCTGGGTCTTCAGCTCCCGCAGCACCCGCAGCTCCTGCGACAGCCGGGCCTGCCGCGTCCGGGACACCTGCAGGTCCAGCTCCAGGTCCAGGGACGTCCGCAGCAGACCGTCCAGACCTTTGACCTGCACTGGAGGCTGAGGACAGGAAGAGAAAGGACGGGGTTAAAAGCTGCACACACAAAAACACGCGTGGGAAATTTGTTGATTGATCATTTTGTTGCTAAGATGAATCTAATAACTTTTGCACATATGGACATGTTAACCCCTTTAAAAATAGATTTTCTGAGAATATGTGAATATTTGTGATAAAATCTGAAACTAAACAGATATTTTGATAAGTTTAATTTATAAGGAAATGACCTTTGTTTCTTGTGTCCTGCTAAATGTAAAATGCTTTTTTCTAAGCATGAGGAGCCGCAACAATCGATTAATTAATAAAAAAATTATTGTATTGATTGTTTTCCCAACTAAGGTTAGAAGAAATAATGACAAATGACCAGAATCCAACGTGATGTAAACTAACTGACAAGATATTCAATTTACTTTCATTAAAAAAATCTAAATATCCGGGAAATATTTACATTTACGAATCTGGAAGCTTTAAATTTTTGCTTGAGTAACGACTGAAATGACTAATTGATTATCAAGATTGTTGCTACTGCAATCAACTAAATGATTAATTGACTAATTGTTGCAGCTCTTAAACACACACACACACACACACACACACACACACACACACACACCAGGGCAGCAAACAGGTGGGTGTTAAATATCTAAACTAAATTAAGACATAAATGTAGGAGATAAAAAAAATAGAATTGTTTTAATCTTTATGGAAGTTGTTTATAAATAATCATCTGATTAATCAACGATGAAAACAATCATTAGCTGCAGTCCTACTTGACATTACGAGACTGAGAACACGCTCCTGTTGTGTTCGAACACTTTTACGAAGCTGTTACTTTAATGGACGGACAGGTCTGACAAGGGCTCAGAAGTCACATGACTCCACAGTGACAAACACCGTCACCAACATCTGATGTGCGTAAGTGAATTTCCCGCTGCCGTCGAGCCCCGGGAGAGACGCCGAGGGAGCCGCTAATTTAATCCAAGCTGGCAAATGTCAGAGCTGCATTAAACATTCAGATGGTTATTAAATATTAAGAGGCACTTCGCTGGGAGTCACTGGGCAGCTCCACGAGTCTCCCTCTCTCTCTCAGGAGACCGCAGAACTCAAGCTGATGTGGCGGGTTTGACTTCTTTATTAAACTGTCAAGATTTACGGCCGATCACAGAGGGACACAAGTCCAATCACTGAGGCCATAACACAGACAAACGGGACTGACATCTGCTGCTCAGGTGCTGAGACGCCGGGCTGACTCCGACAAACGGCCACACACGTCTTCATTTAAGTTTCAAGTTGAAGTGGGTTCATCAGTAACGGGAGAAAGATAAAAGATCTGAGTCTGAAAAAATAAACAGCTGCTTATAAATAAAATGCCATTTGAAGACAGACATGCTGATATAAAATCATCACAGACTTTTATAACTGACTCGTTTGTCTGAGTGCTGTTTAACTACGCTCAGAAAAACACTATAGAAAGTTATTATCGTACTGGAAACAGAAAAATGTTCCTCTGAGATTAAAAAGAAAAAATGAATTTACAAACTTGGAGACTTGTTTAAATGTTAGATGATGTGAGGATTTTTATATTTTCTTTACATATTAATTTGACAAACTTCTCACATGAAGCGTCGGGAAGAAAAAAATGAGTTCAGGAGCAAATGTTGCTGCTTTTATCTCGTGGAGTGGAAAACAACAACAGCACTGGTGCGTCAGAACTATTCTGTTTTGTCTGTCTGAGTCTTGACAACGTGTTCAGCACTGTTGACCAGTATCAGCACAGAGCTCTCTGCTGTCAACACGGCACAGTGACAGAGGAGAGAAGAAGCTGCTCCCTCGTTCTCCGCAATGTCTCACGAGGCGTGGAGGACATTAAGCTTTTAGTGGCGAGGATGTAGTTTTCCTAAAACATACTCTGCAACGTCTCTGAAGTCACAGCAACACTTTATGACTGTGACTCCTTGTCTGACACACTGATTTTACACCCACACTGAGTTTGTGTCTTAAATTTGAACCACAAATAATTTTGCAAAAACAGTTTTTACTCTTGGCTGAGGAGGAAGAAGTCGGAGCATCGATGGAAACAACCTGAATGAAACTTTCACCGGACACATGAAAGGTAGCGGCAGGTGAAACATGAGATCGGTGTGGAGCGACGAGCAGGAGGCAGGAATAAATAAGCCGTCTCTACCTTCTTCATGCGCATGCTGCGTCTCTCCGAGGCGTTTCTGACGAACGGAGACTTCTTGGAGAGGGTGGAGCTGTCGCTGTCGCTGCGGTTAATCTGAAGAGAGCAGAGAGAAACAGTGAAGTTAAACCTTTCTGTGTATCTGACTGAGGTTCAGGAGTTGGGAGTTCTTCTCTCGGAGTCAGTTACCCTGCAGATGTACTGGCTCTGAGGTCCGGGGGAGAAGGTCTTGGAGCGGATGATGGTGTTCCCCCTCATGAAGGGGTTCTGCTGGTGGACGTCGGGCCGCCGCTCCTTGGGCCGAACCACGGAGCAGTGGTGTGACGACGACAAGCCGTCCATGCTCGTCTCCTTGTTCACCTGGACAGAGAATACGCAACGATGATGAAGAGGAGAAGAAGAAAAGCCAAAAATTGTCGCCGCTCACTTGTGACTTCCTGCTTTATACGAACATCAACAAACTTCAGGCGCGATTGAAGCCGCTGGAAGAAGAAGAACAGAAGTTACCTTCTCCGTGATGGCTGCTGCTATCGGAGGAGGGGGTTTGGTCGCCTTCGCCTCCTCTTCCTCCTCCTCCTCCCATTGGCTGCTGTCAGGATAAAAGTCGTCCTCTTCCTCCAGGGGCCCCACTCCCTCCACGCCGTTTCCCTCCTCCTCATCAAACAGGTCTGCCTCCAGCGAGTCGCCGTGCCTGACGATCAACAACAGAGACGCAGTTAGAAGAAGAGACAGACGAGGTTCAGGGCCGAGTGTCGCCCTCATCACAGGATTTAACCAGTTCTTCTGTGGCTGATTGTGTTTGGACTGAATTTAACATTTGAGAACTTTTGTTCAATGAAAAAAGCTTTTATTTTGTTAACTGTAAAAGCTCTGAAACATTACATCATCGTTAATTTGCTAAGAATGAGGAATTCTGTTTTATCTCTTTGTATTTTTGACTTATATTCTGATTCTGGTATTCTGTGTTTCCTGTTTGGTAGTAGCATGAAAAGGAAAGGTGTAGGTGAAGGAGGGAATAAAAACACTCACCACTCGTCGTCCTCCGGAGCTCCGACTGTGTCACTGCTGGAAACACGAGTCTGAAACACAAAACACATCCGGACCAAACACATTAATATCTGTGTGTTCGTGTCATTCAGATGTTTGTTGTGTATTTTAAACTGATTGTTTAACTTCAAGTCGAACAAACGGACTTTTGTTTTAATGTCTGTTGTTCAGTGCGTCTGTTTCCCTGGAGATCACAGGGGTTTAAACAGAGCTGCGTCTCTTATTACTGACAAATGAAATATGAAATATGAAGTTCAGCAATTAAACCTGAATTCATGATCAAGTTAACTCACTGATTTCTGTTTGTCTGTTTAATAACAACCCCCCCCCCCCACGTACCCTGTCGGAGCCGCCCGCCGCTCGGCTCTCTTTGTCCTCGCTGCTGCTGCTGATCTCAGGCATGTAGGCGCGGCTCAGCAGGTTGTACCACTTGGTGCATCTCTCCTCCGAACAGCTGACATCAGCCAGACTGATCTGGGCTCCCGCCTGGAGGAGGAGGAGGAGGAGGAGGAGGAGGAGGAGGAGAGAGAGAAGGAAGATGGAGGCAGGTTAAATAAAGTTGGAGGAGCTCATGGCGTCTGCTCATCCCTCATGAAGTTAGCGTTTAATGCACCAGAGGCTGTTGTTATTATTATGTTATTATGTTGCCTTAAGGAACACAAGATATATATTTTCTTTTTTGCATCTTGCCTGTTTGATAGTCGACAGTCTAGAGAGAGAGAGAGAGAGACAGAGAGAGACAGAGAGACAGAGAGAGAGAGACAGAGAGAGAGAGAGACAGAGAGAGAGAGACAGAGAGGGGAAATAAGGGCAGAGACAGAACAACAACCGTGGACGTTGCTGTTACGTGATATGAAACTTATTTGGACACCAGAAGCACTGGAAGAAACATCTTTAATAATTCATTTATTTCTCTATAATGTGTAAAAGTGTCTGTGATTCTTTGTTCACTGGTTGTTACCTGGTTTTAAAAGAGACTTTCGGTGGCACGAGACATAATTTAGATTTCAGGGCTGAGCTTAAAGTGGCTTCACACAAACTCAAAGCAGAAGGCTTGAAAAACAAACTCAGAGACTTGAAGCAGGAAATTCACCAAAAAACTTTCTGCAAAAACCTGCTGCACTGACCAGACACTCCTCGTGGCCCGACTTGCTGGTGTTGCAGACGTCGACCCTCAGGGTCTTCTGGCGCAGTGCACTGTGGGATATCTGCATGCCGAACACCTCGTTGACCTCCACGACGTCCTGAGGCAGGAAGCCGCGTGTCCGGAAGAGGCAGCGCGTGGCCTCCACGCAGGGCAGCACCACCACACGCACATACCTGCAGGACACACAGGTACAGGTGTTACACGAGGCTGTCAGGAAGGTTCTGGACACTCACAAGACTCAGTGTTATGTTTCCGGGGCTGAAGACGCCGTTTCAGTCTCAACCTCCTCTGCCGCACAGAGTGACTGACTCTGAGACACTCTAGGATTTCATGACTGAACAATGAGCGGGAAACACACTTTCTGTTTCTTTGTCTGTGTGGAAATCTGATGTTTCACATCACACCAGGTGAATAAAGGCATTAAAACGTGAGTCTTCCAGATTAAACATGAGACTAGAAGGATGTGACAGGAGTTTACTGTTCAGGAACTGAGCAGCAGTATTTATGAAAACAAACAGCATCTATAAGAGAAACCAGGAACATAGAGAGAAAGAGAAGATCACATCTGCATGAACAAACTGTGTCATGCCTGTGGAAGGAGTAAACACTATGAACTCTTTACACAAAGTTTATTCAAAGTACTTCATGGAACTGAGTTTCGATTTGAATTTACAAACGGCTCCTTGTTTCTTTGTTTCACCTGTAGTTTCTAATCTTTCTACATTTAAAGTGACGTCAATAAACAGGAGTGAGAGGTCGTTACATTTTCTGGTCAGCCGGCAGACAGAGGGCGCTGCAGTTGGACAGCTGCATGACGTAGACGGTGAAGCGCTGGTCTCTGGACTCGTAGCGGAAGCCGAGCTGCACCTGGGAGCAGCCGAGCGCCAGCCGCTCCTCGTAGGAGCCCAGGAGGAGGTCCGCAGGGAGGCCGGGTCTGGAGGAGACACACACACACACACACACACACACACACTCAGTATAATAACCATGTGACTTGAGAACGACTTGCGATATAAAAGACTAAAACTAGATAAAAAAATTATACATATATGTGAAAAAGTAAAACCTTTCGTACCTGCGCTCCGAAGGCTCGTACACGCCGCTGTCACCGGCCACTGATTCGTCAGACACCGCCGAGGTCACGCCAATCTTCTTTGGCCCCGCCCCCGTCCCCCGCAGCTGGGGAGCTGAGTCTGAAGGAAAAACAAGATGGTGAAGATTAAGTGTAAATGAAATTAAACTTCGATTTCTTTGTCGCTCTGTTGATTATTTTATAAAAGATAATTCTGGTGATTCTATTAAAATGAAGAAACCAACTCCGCCGCTGAAAACAGTCCCGAACAAATACTCCTGTTTGTTCCTCCAGCTGTTTTTGATTCTCACTGGCGCAGCAGCAACATGCGGCGAGAAGCATCACGTCCCCGTGTTTCATCAAACATTTAAACACGTCTTCTACTTAATCTCATATCATATGAATCTGTCAGTGAGTCTCGACACTGGAAAGACTCCCGGAAGCAAAGACATTAAAGACGGAGCACACCTGTAGTGAGACAGGGTGAGAAACAGCAGAGCACATGGATTAAAGAGAGAGATAAACTCATGTTTGGAAAACCTCGGCTCAGAGCGACTTCTTCTCTGATTCTGTCAACACTTCACAGATATGTTTGTTTTGAGCTGTGGGATCTAATTAAGATATCGGGGGCTTTGTTGAAATCTGCAGCGTCGACTCTGTCTCTGTAGAAAACCCCCACTGGACGTGTTCACGCCTCTAAGTCATGTAGAATTAGCACGTTGCTAAAAAGCTAAAACCAGCAGACAGAGGAGTGAGCTGCTGGACTGACGTCACAACGGTCCAACCACGTTCAGATGTTTTCTGGACGCCCCTGCTCTCTGTGTCAGCCCCCCCCGCTGTGACTGCAGGGAGGAGGAGGCCTGTCTGCGCAGGTGAACAGGAAACCAGACACCTCGTCCACCTTTCACCCGCCGCTGCAACAAGAACCCGAGTCACGTTCAGCTGCAGTTCAAACTTCAGCTGATCCTCCTGAATTCTTATCGAGGCCACGACAAACCGTTAGTTTCACTGTCACTTCTTCATAACAGAGTCTGAACACACAGACTGAAAGAAAGAAAGAAATCATAGATAGATTGATTGATTGATTGATTGATTGATTCTGTAACAATAAAACTAAAGATATTCAGTTTACTCCGAGGAAAACAGAGGAAATCCTCCAGACAATGTTTTTACCTGATGAACGATTAATAAACGATTATTAGAAAAAGTGTTAATTTTCTGTTGATCAACTAATTTCAACTGATACAATTCACAAACCCACACACACACACACACACACACACACACACACACACACGACCCTGCTGTAATCCAACACCTCTCTCCTCACTGCTCCCAACAGCAATCAGGTTTCACTCACAGTATTACATTTCTCTCTCTCTCCCTCACTCACTCTCTCACACACACACACACACACACACACACACACACACACACACACACACACACACACACACACACACACACACACACTGCAACAGAGGCGTGGGCGTTACATCACCCTCCTCTCTGTGGTCTCCTCGTGGAGCCTCCCTCTTATTGCTGCAGATAATTCATCATGCTGATCGTTCTCTCTTATTAACCGTGATCATCACAGGGGCCGTTATTATCCCGCCGCCCTCCTCAGCTCTTTTATGCATAAACAGTTTCACAGCCGTCGATTGCTCTGAGGATAAGAGACTCTGAGTCGCTCGCTGATTTAATGACAAGTCGAATCTTACTGTTTTATTTGTTCGGCCCTGGGTGTTATGATTCTTAACTTCTTCTTTTCTTAAACTAACGATGACGCTTCATTATTGAGAGCTGTGTCCCAATTCAGGGGTCGCCACCTTCGGAGTCTGCATGTTAAGACCGACTGCGTCACAGCGGCGCGACTACGCCGTCCCGTTTCGAAGGCTCCTTCAAATGCGACCTTTTCCTGGGCGGGTCAAACAGGCGGATCCTTCATGCTCCAACCTATCCAGCGGCCCGGGTTCGAGTCCGGCCGGTGGCCCTTTGCTTCATGTCACCCCCTCTCTATCTCCCCAACTGTCCTCTCACTCTCACTGTCACTATAATAAAGGCGAAAACGTATCTTTGTGTAAAGTAACTGACATAACATAAAGTGAGTGATTGATGAGACCACAATGAACTAAGAAGATTATGAGTCAGAGTATTTGGACATGATGGATGAAAAAGACACAGGATAAAGGAATAGACACTTCCTGTTTACCTTTGACCTCCTCGCCCAGCGTGGTGTTGAGGCTCTGCTTCTCCTCCAGCCCACCTGGGCCTCTGTCGGGTCGCTGCTCCTGAGAGTCCAGGCTGAGCTCCAGCTCTGCTAGCCTGCTGTGGAGCTCCAGGTCCAGGCCTAACCCGCCGGGCCCCGGCTGGCCTGTGAATGTCTCACCGGAGAGGAAACTAGTGTCTGTGACCAGCGGCGAGCACGGCGGAGACAGCGAGGAGAGAGACGACCGTGGAGATAAAGAGCTCATGGAGCGAGGGGTTTCTGACAGTCTGAGGGCCTGGATCCTGGACGACCCCATCTCCACTCCGATACCTCCTCCTCCTCCTCCTCCTCCTGCGCCGCCTCCAGCAGAGCACCCCGTGTCTCCTCCCACCCCTCCCGTTTTGCCCTCGGGCCTCCCGGCATCCCTCCTCCCGCAGCCCGTCACCACCTCGTGTTCGTGGATGGTGGTGATGGAGCTGGAGGGGCGGTAGCCCGCCTGGCCGCCGTCCTGCAGGAGGCTGTCCAGCTTGTTCTGGAAGTCCGGGTCTGCCAGCTCGGGCTGCTCCAGGTAGATGTCGGTGAAGCTGAGGGAGGAGGTGGAGCCCAGGCTGGAGGTGGTGGCCAGAGAGCCACGGCTGGACGTCAGCGAGCCTCGACTGCTGCCGGAGGAACATGACAGGGTGCTGGCCGACAGGCTGGAGGGGGGGGGGGGCAGAAACAACAATCTTATTTAAACACTTTCTGTCCTTTTCATTTCTATTTCTCCTGCCTGAGTCTGAGCTGAGAAGCCTTTATGAACGAATGCACTTTAGTGTACGATCCAGTTTGAGGTTAATCACTACTTGCAGCTGCTTTAGAAGATTTTACTGGTTACTGAGATGTTCCTGAGGCGTCTGCAGGGCAGCAGAGGACATGAGGGAAAACTTCCTCTGTCTGTCCTCCGCTCTCCTCACACACTCCTGACTCTGTCTGATCAGGTGTCCAATTAAAGCCGGTCGTCTCGTTAGCGCAGACACAGAGGACGTCCTGTCTGCTAGCGAGACGTTTGATGTCCGTCAGACCAGGAGGAGAGACGGGATCAAACAGAGACGGAGGAGAAACTGCCCCGAGGAGGAAGATGAGGAGGACCGACGCTGCTCGTGTCAACCTTTCAGATTCCCACTGTTGAATTTAAAAACCAGCTCTGTGAAATATTCAGCGACTCAGGAACATGCACGGCTCTTACAGCAGCCTTGCATCATGCGCTCCGCGTTCGAGCTGCAGGATTAGATTTGCCCAGAGTTCAGCGCTGCCGTCAAACAGGCGCGGAGAACAAATAACTTTCTTTCTTTAGCAAACGTTTGGTTATTAAAGGTTAAACATTCAAGTTGAGCCACATTTCTCAGTCTCCCCTTCTGCTCTCCGCAACCACCAATTAATTAAACGGATATTAAAGTCATAACTCTGGTCCTCTGTGCGTTTATCAACCCGCCCGTCTGTCTCCGTCTGTCGACACGATAAAGTCTGACTCAGCAGCTCATTCCAGGGTTTTACAGGAACCTGATAAAACTGGAGTTTTCAGTCTTTGCTTTCAGTCTTTGCTTTATAAACTGTCTCTACACTGCTGAAGATAAAAGTTCAGCTTCACGTCTGTCACTCTCTGAACTTAATGTCATGTTTTTATTAATTCCATTTATTCTACTCGTCGGAGAAATAACGTTTTCTCTGTTAGTTAAGAGGATTTTGTTTTTCCGAGGAGATTCTACGATAATACAACTGTAACGCAAAAAATCAGTGAGAAACTTGTTTTGCATGAATATTCATAATGTTGGAAGGAGGTTGGTTCTTTATTCAGTTTGTTTCTCTCATAATCACCGTTTTTACATGACTGAATTTTAATCGCAGCGCTGAGAATCTGCAAACCTCCGCCTACATGTTGGTTCAAAACCTCCACTACACACACTGAACACAGCTGACACCTCGGGCAATAAATTTCTCTATTACCGTATTAATGTTGTCGCGTCCTCAGCGATTCATTTGGTAAATACAATGTAGTTATTATTGATAGAAATGACGGGACGATGCCACAAGACGGATATCCAGGTCGTAACAAACAGCAGAGAAGAGATGAACGAACCTCTTGAGTTGAGTGTGTAGTGACGTGGCCAGTCGAACCATCTCCTCCAGCTCTCTGACCAGCTTGTTCCTTCTGCAGTGAAGACGCAGCCTGAAATGATGCAAACAACAAAACTTTATTTAGTGAACAAATGACTTTATTTTGTCTGTTTCCTTCAAAAAGGAAAGTTGTGTTTATTTATTCTCTCATCAGATAATTCCTGATTTAAATGAAGGTTTTTAGACTCTGCTGTGTTCAGGCAAAGTTCTTGGCTGTTTTCAAACTGTAGGTATCGACACTCAGAACGTGGGGTCACCGTGACTTTGACCTTTGACCTTTAAGCACCAAAATCTAAGCAGTTCATCGTTGAGTCCTAGTGAACGTTTGTGCCAAATCTGAAGATGTTCCGTCGAGGCGTTACTGAGATTTCACATCCAAGGGAATGAGGCGGACGGACGGACGGACAACCTGAAATCAATACGGCTCTGGCTGTCGGTCTCACTTTCCTCCGATCTGTAAAGACTGATTCTGACCATCTTCAGGTTCCTTTTTCTTTTGGAAATGACACGAATTTCGAAGGAGCTTCTTGTACTAGATTTTCTGAAGGCTGAGAACATCTGCGTGGGAGTGCAGAGCCTGTAAAGACTCACACACAGAGAATTAAATACTTTCCTGAGCTCAAGGATCCTGATTCAGAGCTGGTGAACCTGACATTTTCAAACACTCTGAATTCAAGTGTGTGTGTGTGTGTGTGTGTGTGTGTGTGTGTATGTGTGTGTGTGTGTGTGTTTCCTGTGTGAGCGGCTGAACGGTGCGTAGGTGGACTACAGTACAAGGGGCTCCTATTGTGACCGGGCTCTGCCGCCTCTCAAGTTACAGCAACAGGAGACAAGACACAAAGAGAGACTGAGCTCAGGTAGAGGCTGACCTGAACGCAGAACAACAAGAGTCCTGTTAGAGAGGGGGGAGGGGAGGAGGGGAGAGAAGGAGGTGGGGGGGGGTGGGTGGAGGAGGAGGGGAGGGGAGAGGAGCGGGGGGGGGGGACTTGGTGGTTCTGGTTTGCTGCATGCTGCTGTTTTAGGACAAAACAAGGAGAGAGGAGAGGATGATGAGGGTGAAGAGGAGCGGAGGGGAGGACAGAGGAGGTCTGTCATGTTCATCTCTAGCTCTTAATTATCATCCCTCCTGTCTGACGTGTCTGACGGTCGAAATCAAACAGCAGCAGAAGGTCAGACGTGTCATCAGACGTGTCATCACACACCTGTGATCACCTGCTCTAATCTCCTCATGACATTAGCTCCTCTGTCACCTTCACACACGTGCTAAGAGGGAAACAACAACAGCTGTTATTGGTTTAGCATCAGCTAATGTCAGCTAATTTCAGCCATGGTTTATTATCCCCATTATTATTATTATTATTAATTATCATGTTTACATGTGTGGCGCTGCAGCCGTCAGTTCACACACTATTAAAGTCTCTGCCACAAAGATAATATTCAAGTTTGATCTAGAAAATCTCTGGTGTGAAACTCACTGAGAATTACAAAGGACTTTCCAAACTTTCCAAAGCTTCTCCAAAATAAAAGCTTCAATAAAAGAATTCAGTTCAGAATTAGCAACCTTATTAGACATTAATAATAATTCAGTCGATGACTCGATATTTGTGGTTTTTCAAGAAGCAAAACAAGCCTTTGCTTCAAATCTGAACAAAAATATAAAGGTATGTGTGTTACTAGTCTCGAGAAAAGAAATCATTGCTCTTGAACAGAATATAACAAATAATCCAAACCTGACATAGCTCAGAGTCTCAGAGTGAACTCAAGGAACTTTTTTGAGAGAACAAACTGCAGTTTTGATCCGATTTTTGATCTATTTTGATCCAGTCAAGTCATTTACTTCCCAGCAAAGTAACGGGGAAGTAATAAAATAGCAAGCACCTCAGCGATAAGATCACAAGACAAAAACATCACGTCTGATCCCACGGAAATTCACAATACTTTTAAATCCTACTCTGCAGAACTTTATGAATCTGAAATCGCTTATAATGACTTGACTTGCCACTTAACTAAGTCTATCCAAACTTCCACCTGAGGCCTCAGCTGCTCTAGACGCATCCGTTACACTACAGGAACTGTTCACAACGTTAACATCAACGAACAAAGATGGACGACCTCCAGAACTCTTTATATCCTAACGTGGCCCTCCACTTCTGGTTATTTATTTATATTTCACTCGTATTGAAAAAAGCTAAGTGTCCTACAGAGTTGTAGAGAGGAACCACGTGCTCTGCTCTCCGGCGTCTGACCCCGCCTCACCTCTCAGTCAGCGCCTTGCTCTGGTTGTCTCTGGCGGCCTGCAGGTCTCTCTCCAGACGCTTCTTCTCGGACTCCAGCTTCTCGGCGTCGTTGGGCTCCAGCCGCTGGCGGGGGCTGACGTACTGCAGCTCCTTCAGCAGCTCCTCCTTCTCGTTGATGAGGATGAGGCGATCCCGCTCGGGGTCCAGCAGCCCCGGCCACGCCTCGCTGTCCAGTTTGGCGATCTGCACCTCGATGGTGGCGATCCTGTGAGAGGCGAAAGAGCAGGGAGGGTGAGGGGTGAGTGTGCAGGACAGAAACACACACACACACACACACACACACACACACACACACACACACACACACACACACGCTTCGCTACCTTCTCTTGGCCTCCTCGTACTTCAGACTCAGACGAACCTTCTCCGCCAGTTTGTTGGTGCTGGTTATGAACTGATCACAAAAACACAATCACATTAACACACATCAGTTCTCAGATCCATAACTAAATGACAAGCCACGCCCCAAGCCCCGCCCACCTGGACCCACCATCCAAACCTTTACAGGATTTGGCTTCTCTGAATGTTTTTACCTGAAATCTGATATATTTTTATTTGATGAGTCAGAAAACAGTCAGCCAATCAGAAGAGAGGCTCAGAGCCTCCTCTCTTCTGATTGGCTCACCGACCTGTTGTTACTAGAGCTGCAGAGAGAAGCCTGAGAGAGGAGATGTGAAACTACATTGAGATGGTTTTTGGTTCTTAAAACCACAAATATATCTTCTTATGGATCAACACTTCAAAATAAAACACAGGAAGTGTAAAATATGGAGCTTTAAACTGCACCAATTCTAAAATAATACCTTTATCAATACCCTACTGCTGCTAATTTAAAGACATTTTCCAAAAAGACCAATATTTTGTCTCCAGCATCTGTTTAAGAAATATTCTCTAAATAATTCCACTGCAAAATCAGCTGATATTAAACAATGAATCAGCAAGACTGAGAAGCATGAAGTCCAAACTTTCAGCTCCGGACAGTTTCAATTTTCATGTAAGGTCAATATTCAGAAAAACATCAAAGGTTGTCCATCAGTCTAATTTTTGAAATGAAAAACAGTGTCAGGCTTAAAGCTAGGACGCGGCAGACTCTCTGCTGCTGCCATGTTTAACACAGACTCCATCAGGAACACTGTCAGGACCCAGACTCCGGTTCCTACCGCTCTCTCTCTCTCTCTCTCTCTCTCTGTGTGGGACTCACCTCAGCGGGGATGTCGGTCTGAGAGCCGGCGTCGGAGTAGAGCCGAGGGATGGAAAGCTCCGAGTTGGCGAGCGAGGGGCTGCTGCCCCACAGCTCCTGCTGCGAGCCCGAGTCCAGCTGGAAACCGTCCTTCAGCACCGCCAGTTTCTGGATGAACAAGAGCAGACAAACAGCGAGAGGATGTGACTCAGGAGTTTTTGTCCTGCCGGTTTTGACAGTCAGCAGCTGGAGCGGCAGCAGAGGAAACCTTCACCACCTGACTGCGTCTGTCTGCGTCTCTTCCTTCTCTGAGTCTTAGCTCACAAACACGCAAATATGATTTACATCTTTTTACAGTCGGTGCCACTTCCACTTCGTCAGGACATCATTATCTCTGCTGTTCATTTTGCATAAACGTCCAAGATCTGCTCAGAAATCAAAGAAAAGGTGAAAGTATTTATTTTTATTTATTTTATCTGATCTTGGTGGAAGCGAGGCGTCGGCGTCGCTCTGACTCACCGTGTGAGAGCAGCTCGGGGGCAAAGAGCTTCTTCAAAAGGGACAAAACTGTAAAATGTAAAACACTGCCTCGTCTGTGTTTGCCGCATGTTTCCTCTGTGAGTTACTGTACACAGCGATGCAGCGGCGGCGGCGGTGAAGGCTGCCGCAGTGACACTTTAATCTTTACGGCCGTGATCGATATCTTATACGATTCTGCAGGTTGGTTTTGAAGGCCGCTGAGGAATGCACCTTATCTCTGTTTTTCAGATGGGGCAGAAAAATAACACAGCGCCTCTATCATAACGGTGGTGTTACAGTATTCTGATGATGCATCGCATTTTTCAAAATAAAATCAATTCTGCTGACTAAAAGCTGCTTCAAAGTAAGAGTACTCCACAGGAATGTTGTGGAGTAAAAGTCAGAAGTTTCCAAAAAAATAAATAAAAACATAGTAAAGTAAAGAACAGACAGTGAAGTAAATGCACCTCGTTACTGTTCACCCCTGACACACAAACACACAACACACGAGCAGACAATCTCACAGACACACGGGCTGAGCTGTCAGATGCAGATGGTGAGGGAGGGAGGGGGGGAGGGAGGGGGGAGGAAGGGGTGAGGCAGCGACAAGTGCACAGAGCAGATTATATATTATTGAACACACTTTCCTTCCTCCACTTCCAAACCAATCTGCAGCCAGATTTCCCTGATAAGACCTGGTGTTTTAAATCAACATGGGGTCTGTGTGTGTGTGTCTGTGTGTGTGTGTGTGTGTGTGTGTGTGTATTGTGAGAATATAGTTCTGGTATTTAGTTTTTCTACATTATCTATAAAATGCGGTGCAGACGTGCAGCGCCTGTCTGTCAAACACCTGCACTGTTAGCTCAATAAAAATGTTTTATTAAAACTGTAAAATATAAACCAGAACCTAGAGAAGTTGTAACGATGATTTATCAGACGTTGACAAACAACCAACAACAATAAACAGCTGTTTTCCAGCTGTTGCATCAGAGCCAGAAACTGCACATCAGACAAATTTCATGTTCAGTCACAGTCAGCCTGTGAACACACACACTCCACGTCCCATCATGCAACTTTAATACACACAGCAGCCACGGTGGAAATATGGATGAACAGCAGCAACAATGACGGAGGGTGAGACAGAACCTTCTGCCTGTCAGGCCTGAAAACAGACGACACTTAATAAAGCATCAGAAATCCTGACAGACAGACTTTCTTTCTTTTTTTAGTCTCTTACTTCTAGTTTCACAAAATGTGACAAGGATTTGCTGCTTTTTAAAATCATTGTAAATTGAACATCTGTGGATTCTGGACTGACGGTCGAACACAGCAAGACATGAACATGATGATGGAAATAATAAACAGCCTTCAAATCGAATTCAGATCAACGGCGTCTCGGATCCTCGTCGGCTCTGACGCTAGTAAAGACACACACAGCTCCGAACTCACCCTTCTCTGCTCGGAGTTTAAACCACATGAGCTACAAAGGAAATGACACTGTAGTTGAAAAATGTTCCTGCCATCAGCCAAATTGTTCTCACTTTGCAGAAAACTCATCTCAAACCGATCCTCACCAGCGCGCCGCCCTTCCTCCTCCTCCTCCTCCTCCTCGACAGGCTGTCATCACGATGACTGAGGCGCCACACTAAAACACCACCTGCCTCCCTGCAGCCTCACTTTCACTGAGCCACTGAATCACTTTTCTTTTTCTTCCTTCCTCACAGCGATATGAAGAGTTTCAAATCGTGTACACACTCTCCTGAGAGTCAGCTGCCTCCTCTTGCTCATTTCCAATTCTTTCTCTTCAGCAAAAAAAAACAAACACTTCTTTCCACGGCCTCATAAGACGAACGCCGCACTGTCCCTCGCTGCAAAGTCAGTCCCTTCAGTGGTTCATTTCCTTTGTTCCTCCCGAGGTGAGTTTGGGTTTTTGGCACATTTCACTCTGTCTCTTTAAAGATGATTTCCTACCTGTTAAATAAAACTTAGAAGGAAAACTACACATCACATTTCCCCCAGGGGCAGGAACAAATCAAAGTTGGTCAGGACCAGAACACAATGAACCTTCCTCCAGGGTCGACTGATGTGATGTGTGGTCCTTTCCTCCAGCCTGGTAGCTGCTGAATCCCTTCTTCGGCCAAAGAAGAAGAAAAGCTATTTCATTCCTTCTGCTTTCAAAATAAAACTACATTTTTCCCCAGCTACAGCGACATTTAATCCTTCTGTTTGTTTGTGAAACTGAACGTGATGACGAGGCCTCGCTGTGATTTCTGACATGATCCACGTGGCTCTCGGTGTCAGGTGTTTGAATGTGGATCATCTGTCTCCTCTTTCCTTCTTCTTTTGTTTTGTCGAGGAGTTGATACAGGAGCTGATCGACTCGACATCCTGCCGCCTCCGGCAGCTTTTAAACAATGCTCAGCTGTTAAATGTACAACAGATTTAGACTTCTCTCCAGCTGGAGGTGTAGATGATCGAGATGAGGGATTAGAAGCGTTCATGCTATAAACTAGACTAAATGAGCTGCTAGTGGGTCTTAAAGTGGTGCTCCATCAGTTTTAAAGGTCCCACACAGTGTAAAGGTCTCTGTCCATGTGTAGTGTGATTATAGATCAGCTCTAGCTTCTATATTAATACTGTGAAAGTATCAAAGCCTCAGTCTACAGAGAAATGCACACAGCCTGTATTCAGAAGAGAGACTCTCTTCATACATACCCCAAAATGCAACTTAGAGCCTAGGTAACCCTGATAGCATCACTATGACATCATCAGGGTTATTGACAAAGCTCGTCCGGAGCCACAGATGACTCAGGTTGAGTAATACACCCCCATGATGAGTAAATTCATCTTCAGTTTGCTTATTCTCTGGGATTAAAAGTTACATAATGTTCATCAATGTTTCCTCCATGAAAAATCACAATTTACCTGCATGAGCTCCTGTTTCTCCTTCTCCCCCGAGCTGATGGCGTCTCGGATGGAGCGGACCTCACTGAGGATGGCCTGCGCCTCCTGCAGCTTGTAGCCATACGGGCTGTTGGACACCTTCTGGTCGATCCTGGAGGTCAGAATCAGACAAGAGACAGACAGAGGACAGATGCCAGTTTAGTCAAACATCCTATCAAAATGTTTTAGACCACATCAGTCACTGCTGCGCCGGACAGACCCTGGGAAAAATCCTCAGTTCCAAAAGATCGAATGACTTTAAATTAGCTGCTTTTTGTCTGGGCTAGCTGAGTGGTGCGTGGTCCACAAACAGCAACTCTGACTCACTGCAACCACAGCGTTTTAGCAGCAGTCACATCGCAGGCTCCCACAGCAGATAGTGGAGCAGCGTTACTCACCGTCTGTCCTCGCACATATTTTCCAAACTGCTCTGTGGAACCAAACTGTCAGCGGAGAGAGATGAACCTCAAAACTTTGTGACTGCTCATACCCAGGAGTGAAAACTGTCAGGCACCAAGAGATGGCACCCGCTTAAACTTTTACTGATTTGAGGAAATACTGTCTGGTTGATTAGGACGTTGTTAATGCTGCACTGTCAAGTTTTTGTTCGACTCATTTGTGCACGAACTCCCCTTCAAATGGTAACAGCCGTGTCACCTGTTTTATCTGTATGTCGACTCAGACTCGACCTTGATGACTAAGACTCAAACTCAAGTAATCGGGACTTGACTCGGGCTCTTCTTTGACGACTCGGACTTGGACCCGAACACTGGGGACACGGGACTCAACTAGGACTACAACACTGACGTGGTCAGCCAGAGAGTGACAGAATCCAGCTTGTGTGTCGCCTGTCGCTGGTTGACGAGCATAAATTTGTGATTTAGAAAATAAACAACAATTAAATGACAAATTTCATTCATTTTAACAGAAAAAGGAAAAATATGTTGAATAAATTACGAGTTTAGCTACATTTAAACATTTTTTGCGTTTGATCTTATAATAAATTAAACATTTTTGGCTTTTGTTCACCTTGGGATATTGCGATCTGCATTTTCTTATTCTTTTATCTTTTATTCATGATTATTAGTTATTATTTTATTTATATTTCTTATTTGATTGAATTTAATTGAATCGATTAATCAGAAAAAGAAAATAATGTTTGAGAAAAGAAAGAAAAGATTGAGGAGCCGTTTTTCTGAGAATGTTTAAAAGAACATAAAACCACTGAACGCAGGTAAAATTTTAGGTAAAAACACCAGAGCCTGTTTTTGTCTGTGGGCAGACTGGGAGGACTGGGGGGACTGGGAGGACTGGAGGACTGGGAGGACTGGGGGGAACTGGGGGGACTGGGGGGACTGGGAGGACTGGGGGACGGAGGAACTGGGAGGACTGGGGACTGGGAGGACTGGGGGGACTGGGAGGACTGGGAGGACTGGAGGACGGGGGGACTGGGGGGACTGGGAGGACTGGGGGGACTGGGGGGACTGGGAGGACTGGGGGACTGGGGGACTGGGAGGACTGGGGGGACTGGGGGGACTGGGAGGACTGGGGGGACTGGGAGGCACTGGGGGACTGGGGGACTGGGGGGACTGGGGACTGGGAGGACTGGGGAGGACTGGGGGGACTGGGAGGACTGGAGGACTGGGGGGACTGGGAGGACTGGGGGGACTGGGAGGACTGGGAGGACTGGGAGGACTGGGGGGACTGGGGGGACTGGGAGGACTTGGGGGGACTGGGGGGGACTGGGGAGACTGGGGGACTGGGAGGACTGGGGGGGGGAGGACTGGGAGACTGGGGGACTGGGGGACTGGGAGGACTGGGGGGACTGGGAGGACTGGGGGAACTGGGGGGGACTGGGGGGGACTGGGAGGACTGGGGGGACTGGAGACTGGAGATGGGACTGGGGGGACTGGGGGGGACTGGGGGGACTGGGGAGGACTGGGGGGACTGGGAGGACTGTGGGGGGACTGGGAGGACTGGGGACTGGGGGAGGACTGTGGGGGGGACTGGGGGGATCGTGGGGAGGACTGGGGGGACTGGGGAGACTGGGGTGAACTGGGAGACTGGGACCTGGGGACTGGGAGGACTGGGGACTGGAGGACTGGGGGACTGGGGGGACTGGGGGAACTGGGGAGGACTGGAGGACTGGGGGGACTGGGGGACTGGGGGGGACTGGGGTGGGACTGGGAGGACTGGGGGGGACTGGGGGACTGGGGGGACTGGAGGACTGGGGGGGACTGGGGACTGGGGGGACTGGGAGGACTGGGAGACTGGGGGACTGGGGACTGGGAGACTGGGCTACAGGGAGACGCTGCAGGAAACAGCCATGAGAGGGCAGCAGCAGCTATGTTAAAACCCTGTCATCAGCAAGTCATGGCATGCCTGAAATAACAGGTCCTTCCACATTCTTCCAGAGAGGGGAAGAGGGGGAGGGCGGTTCTGACAGAGGAGAGAAAACAAGGTACAGAGAGAATGATGAAGGAAGTGAGGGGGGAGAGGGAGGGAGGGAGGCATTGTCTGTAACAGGCAGAGAGAAACAAATAATCCTCTCTAAGTCCTTCTCAAACATGGACTTATGTTTGAGTGAAAACGCTGTTTGTGAACTTTTTTTATAATTGAAATCACAATGATCATTTTACTACAACACAGAGATGGAGACGGTGTTTAATTAACTACTGTCACACCAAGTGAGCGACTCTGAAATTAAACAGGTGCAGCTTTTATGTTGGTACTACGGCCGCTCCTCCACCTGTGGATGCGCCGTGACCTTCGACCTGAAAAATACTTTCTCAAATTAACACATCAATACAAACTCTGTCTTTCTTTCCCGACCATCACTTTGCTGCTGAACCTTTCACTGTGCTCTTGTTTATCTCTGACATATTTTAAGTGTCGCAACGTGCCGCGCACAACGGCCAAAGGTATGAGGACACATAAAGCCCAGCTGATAGTAGATTTTTGAGCCTGATAACGAAGAAATAGATAACGATATTTTGATCAATAATTGATTTCTTAAAACAGCTTCTGCGCTGATTTCAGTTACTGCACTTTTCAAGAGGACGAGATATCCTGAGGTTTCGCTCCAAAAACAGCAGGGACCTGCACTTCCCCATGATGCAGCTTGATAGCTTTTTCTGTTAGACCCTCCCCCTGCCTGGTGAAATTCCCTTGACTTCCACACTCTATGACCTCGTTCACAGTGCAGGTTAGAAATTTAAATTAATACTTTTTTTTGCTTCATTATCGTCACTTTATTATCGCCAACGGTGAGAGAGAGAGAGAGAGAGAGAGAGAGAGAGGAGAGGCAGATGGTTGGACTCGAACCTGCAGTTAGGAGTGAGCCGTCAATGGTACACAGCCATAGCCACCGTGTAATTAATTATACAACTATTACCTCTGGTAGTAATATTTACTCCATATAACTTTCCCCTGCATTTTAACTCGCGTAATACAGCGACCCAGACCAAACTCCCACTTCAGTATTTTGTAATAAAAAGAGGGTGTCCATACACTTTTGGCCCACACAGTGTATCAACAATGTTCTGTATATGAGAAAAACATCATGAAACACTTTCCTCTGCTCCAGTATTTTGTGAAATCTTATCGGGAGCCCGAGTGCGCGGCTGCATTCCTGGTCTTAAGCCCTATTCGTATTCCCTGCAAACAGCGATTGGTCGCTGAATGGCGTCTGATGACTGTAACAGGAGAGGAAAGTCACGGAGGAATGGCCGTCCGACCGCTCATGCCTCAGCTACTCTTTATCCTCCTGACATCTCACTGGTGCTGCGGTGAGGCAAGACAAAACAGACCGGACATCTCCTGTTCAATTCAAGCGTCCGCCGACGGCCGCGGGCGGCGCGTCCCGCTCTCCCCAACGTGTTGAGTTTCAAAAATACACCAACAGCCTCCGTTTGAGAATAAACAACAATTAGAGGAAGCGAGTCCCTTTTTCAGACGAGCGTTCCCGACTGACACTCTCCCATGTTGTGAGGTGTGGAAAGTAGGTCAGGTAGACGCGGGTGTTTTCCTCTCAGATCCACATTCCTGAGCGAGTTGTTTCCATCTGCTGCGTTTAAATGAGGTGTTGTGTTTAATGACGGGATGGAATGTGTGATAGTGCTGAAGCAATAGACTGAGGTCGATAACAGCCGTTTACTGCGCGATTCGCGACCGGCTCAGGGCAGCGCTTTTCACGTTAAACGTGTTGGTTTCTGACCACATGCCGCTGAACAGGCAAATTTCCAAACCACGGCGAACGGCAGAAGTCTTAATCCTTCATCTCTTCTGTGATCGTAGATAATGATCAGGATAA